AAAACTTACTTTCAATTTTTTTTTTTTTTGGAACGAGTTGACATTAAAATAAAAAAACCATTGCAAATAGCATGATGCTACAGCCATTTATAATGCGTAATAAATGCTTCTTATTTATCAACTCTGGGTCCGCTTGTTTTCGCTATTATATTTACTTTACAAAGCAAGACAAATATCACTAATTGACGCACAAGAACTTGTCCTCAAGAAACAAATATATCAGCTGTTTGCCTTTTTCATTAATCGTGATATTTGAATAATTTAAACAATCCCGATCCCGATTATAAATACACTAAACGATGAGGAACAGTGCCAGCACTGGTGAACAACAACAATTAAAAACTTCCGTGCAGTTTGATTTAAATTTGGGACGGATCCAATCAAGGGAGGAGAGGGATAAGGATACCGACGGTGACTAACTCTCCGTCCCGTCTATTTTCAACTCGGGAAAATTATTGTTAAAACATTTGGTTTTGGTTTTTCCTAGCTTAATAGATCAAAATGTGTCTGACAGCGTTGTCAGCGATTCACTGTTATAAATAAGTAAACCCGAAGATTATTTTTAAAAAATTGTATGATTAGTTGGAGATTAGGGGCACATCACTGTTTTGCAATATGGCCTTTAGGACTTTTTAAAGTAAGTATTGCGTGCAGGGTCGAGTTACGATAAGGAAAAAAAATTTTTTTCATGAAAATTACAATTATACTGTTAGGTAAAACAAGGGAAATATTTAAGTAAAATGCTTTTCAAATTTCATATACTTTAATAGAAATGATAAATGATGGAGTGAGTGTGGTGTTCAATACTTTTTAAAGGATAGTTCCTACTCACAGTAAGTTGTTTTTCAACAATCCGGATTTCGAGCCTTTTAGCTCATCATCAGGTTGTCAGACTTTGGCAATTCATGTCGAGAGACGTGGTTGTAGAAGTCCTTCAACCTGATGATGAGCTAAAAGGCTCGAAATCCGGATTGTTGCAAAACAACTTACTGTGAGTAGGAACTATCCTTTTAAAAAGTATTCATATACTTTTGTGAAAATATTACTTAGAGAATTGATTTGTTTTTTATTTTTTTAATATAACAATCTCTTTCGATCATATACCTCCGTTCAGTTTTGTTAGTATAAATGGAAGGATTCTTATCCATTATTCATGATAATTAGCGATCGTTTAAATCGTAGATGATTATCTAATTTGTTTATAGGAAAAAATTCCATCGGCGTTTGTATTTCTGGGCGACAAAAGACAGATCTGCGATGACCCAGTTAATCGAGGCGGTGAATACGCCTACAGTTGCCACATACAGCTTGCTGATTGTCGCCCCACCAGCTTTTCGTTCTGTTTTATGAGGGCAAGGTTAAATTATATCCGTTTTTTTTTTATATTCTTCCGAAATCCTGAAGGTTTGAGACTCGATATGGAATAGGACAAACGCCGTGGGCGTTTCATTTTTTTGGCACGGCGTGTTGTTTTGAGCTGTTGCTGGCACGAGTTAAGCCGAAGAGGAAAAGAAAATTAAACCGCTCCCATTGCCTTTTATCGTTTCGTTTGTTACTTTTTCAAACGGTTCAACTGACGCCGATGTTAGTCACGGGTTAAAAAAGGACGTGATTCAATACGTAAATCTCGTCCTGTTTTGTCTCCGCCTCCAGGACGCGTTCAAATTTTCGGTACGGGGCACAAGGCCGAGTGTCTGGAGGATTCGTGGAATTTTGAAAACGATAACGTCCTCCGACCGTTTTGTTAGTTTTGTTCTGTCCCGAGACTGGTTCCGACGCAAACGAGGCGTAGATTTGAATCATCATTATGCTGGGTTTGTCCCAGCCATGGCCCACTCTTCTCAAGAATAGGGTCGCAATTCATTAACCCTATTAAAGAGCTTGATTTAAAGAACTCTTAACCATTTGCACCGACTCCGATTGCGTTGTAATTTCCTCAATAAAACCTAAAACCTGGAACACAATACTGACAAATTGCACATAAAAAATTTGAATTATGAAGATGCAGATCGAAAGCAGTTTACAAATTTTAATTAGCAATCTTCCTTTATTTTCAGCGAAAATGCAATATTTATAAAATATCCGCAAAAAACATGACCTACCTAGCAAACAGATGGATCAATTAACCGATGAGTAACAAGTAATTTAGAATTTAATTTAAAATTTAATTATTACCATGTGATGGGCAAATGAGGAGAATACATTAGATTCAAGCTGGCTTATTGATTATTCAAAATGACGTCTAATGCCTGACAAAAATGTATAAACTATTATGTAATAATAAAATAATAAGTAATAGATTACTCAATGTAGTATAGATATTTTAAAACATAGTATTACTAATTGAAGGGTAAAACAATTTACGCTGAATTGTTTTTATAAATGATTTGATCCTATATGAAAGACTTAGTTTTGTGAGATTTATCCCGTTTGTTTTGCCTAAAAGATATATAAAAAAATTTAAATACAGAAATTTGGCGAAATATTTTCCTTTGTAGAGTTTGCTTCTTTTTGGTTTTGCCTAAAAAATATACAAAAAAATATTTAACATGCAGAAATTTAATGTAATGCTTCATTTTGAGAGACTTATCCCGTTTGTTTTGCCTAAAAAATATATCAACAATAAAATATTTAAAATACAGAAATTTGATCAAATATTTTCCTTTTTAGAGATTTCTTCTCTTTGTTTTTGCCTAAAAAATATAGAAAAAAATTTAAAATGCAGAAATTTAATATAATGCTTCGTTTTGAGAGACTTGTCCCGTTTGTTTTGCCAAAAAAGTATATCGACCAAAAAAAAAAAAAATTTTAAATACAGAAATTTGACAAAATATTTTCCTTTTTAGAGATTTCTTTCCTCTCGTTTTGACTAAAAAAATATACACAAAAGCACAAATTTAATATAATGCTTCTTTTTGAGACCCGTCTTGTTTGTTTTGCATAAAAATATCAAAAAATATTTAAAATGCAGAAATTTAATGTCATGATTCGTTTTGAGAGACTTATCCCGTTTGTTTTGCCAAAAAAGTATATCAACAAAAAAATATTTAAAATAATTATTCCGAAATCGTGACATGCGGTCTGGTGTGATGTAGGTTTCAGAAAAAACATTTAAAAGTCAACTGGCACTCTCAACACGACACGCAAGGATGGCACAATTACACAGAAGACAAACACTTCGAGCCCTGAAGATGATCTCAATAAAGATCGAAACGTTGGCACGATAAAGAAAATGTTTTTCTGAAACCTACATCACACCAGACCGTATTTCACGATCTCCAAATAATCATTAACTAACGGTCACTAATCACCACACAAAAATATTTAAAATACAGAAATTTGACGAAATATTTTCCTTTTTAGTGAAATTTTTCCTTTTGTTTTGCTTAAAAATTATACACAACAGCATAAATTTATTGTAATGCTTCTTTCTGAGACACATCCTGTTTTTTTGCATAAAAAATATTTAAAAAAAATTAAAATACAAAAATTTAACGTAATGTTGTCCTTTTGAGAGATTTCTCTCCTTTGTTTTTGCTTAAAAAATATACGAAAAGATATTTAAAATACAGAAATTTAACTTAATGTTGTCCTTTTGAGAGATTCGCTAGTTTCTTTTTGCCTAAAAAATACACCAAAAAATATTTAAAATACAGAAATTTAACGGAATATTATCGTTTTGAGAGATTTCGCTTGCTTGTTTTTGCCTAAAAAATATAGAAAAAAATATTTAAAATACAGAAATGTAATGTTATCTTTTGAGAGATTTAACCCGTTTGTTTTGCTTTAAAATATATCAAAAATATATTTAAAATATAGAATTTTAATGTAATGTCCTTTTGAGTGACTTCTTCCTTTGTTTTGTCTAAAAAATGTATCGACCAAAAATATTTAAAATGTAGAAATGTAATGAATGTTACCTTTTGAGAGACTTCTCCTCGTTATTTTTGCATAAAAAATATATCAATGAAGAAAATAGTAAGTCAAACCACGAGAAGTGTAACAATTGTTTTCTTAGACACTTTTATAACATCTATGGCTTATTGATAATATACGAAGGCAGTTTATCGATGTTATAGACAAATAATCATTTTAGTAAATCCCGTTTCTTTCAAAACAAGCTTCTAGCTCAGATCTGAGGTTTTAGGAAGTGGTTTGCGGTTTTAGGTAGAAACGAGAAATCATGCGAAACAGGTTGCATGCTTATTGTCTAAGCACGGCATCAATCTGTCCTCAGCGCTCGCAAAGCCACTGTAACGGAGTCACTCGCCCTCATCTAACAGGGAGGCCAATTATTAAAAATTGTTACAACTGTTTTACAATTATAACTGTGTTTTTACCCGTCGAATGATGTGTCGCAAGCTTAGTTTCGCCTGGGCTTTACGAGTGGAAGTAAATGAGAGACGAACTAGGCCAGGCCGTCATCGATCCGCCCTCCCTGTTGCCAAACATTTCGTCCTTCTCGTTTTTCATTCTTAAATGCCGACGGGTTTTGTTTTAAATGCTTTCCTCCCATATGAGAGTTAAACGGTCCATTCCAGAAAGGCCCGGTATCGTTTGGAAACATCATGCCAATGAATGTCAAGGCCAGGCCCTGTTGAATAATTCTTGATCGATCATGTCGATTAACGGAGATAGCCTACTGCTGAAAGTTCGTTTGATTTGCGGTTAGAAACTGTGGTCGGATTTCTGTCAAGATCCCCGGGATATTTCTTCCAAGGATGAACTAATATTTTCTCTCCTATTGCGACATTTAACGCTTTTATTACATTTAAACATTTTTGAACCATTTAGTATCTTGTATGAGTCTAACTCCTAAAAATTCCCAAAATTAAAGTAAATCCCATCGTAAACTCAAAATTACCTCATGTCACCATGTTTAACAGTCAACAGTTTTTTGTCTTTTAAAGATTACAATTTATTCGGAATGACTAGCTTTGGTATATTAAGTAGTAAAATAATGTTTCTCTTGTGTAATAGGATTTTATTGTTTGTTTCAGGCTTTGAGCAGTATCTTGACGACTGAGGTTTGGAAAAAGCCGAATAAAGGTCCGATCTCAAAAATAAAACCCAAACGATAAAGGGACACATAATCCCGTTCTATGCAACAACTTTCATAAACGATTGGGACAATCCTGTCGACATGCATATAGAGGTGCAAATCGCTCTCAATTTCGTCATATCATACCTTTACAACAAGCTTCCGAGGCGGAGGGTCAACATTTTCGGGGAGGAGCTTGAAAAAGCACTTAAAGAAAAGTTCAGAGGACACTGGTACCCGGAAAAGCCTGTGAAAGGTTCCGCGTTCAGATGCTTAAAGACTGGAGACCCTGTGGACGCAGTTTTCGAAAGGGCGGCCAAGGAGAGCGGAGTCCCGATCCAGGACATCCTCGAAAACCTTCCCCAGGATCTCGCCGTCTGGGTCGACCCAGGTGAAGTGAGCTACAGGATCGGGGAGAAGGGCATTATCAAAATCCTCTACGTCGAGACGAACGACGTTCACGAAGAGGCCAACGCGGACCGGGAGGTCATCAAGACCTTCAATCCGGAAGCGCAGTGCTTCAGGCCGATCGACGCTGTCCTCGGAGCCTTGAACCTCTCTCCGAAGGGTTCTCCTCCGCTTCCTTCCGACGTCTCACCGACGGCCACCTTCAAGGGTCCCGGATCTCCCAGCCCGGTAGCCCCGGCCACCACCTTCATGCCGAGAACTACGCAACCTCTCACTTTCACCACTGCTACATTCGCCCAAACCAAATTCGGCAGTACGAAACTGAAGACGAACAGCAAGCGAGCTAACAGGTGAGACCAAACTTCAAATATTGCTTAATTTGTAATCAATACTACAACTGTGAATAGTAATTGAATTTATTTGCATTTTTACGAATAAGTGGAAATGTGTTCATATTGCTTCTGTATTAATGGTGACCAATCGTGGTTCAAAACACCAACAACCCCCAACCGCTAAAATTATTACCTTAAATGAATAATTGCTTAATTTAGCGAACCATCTAAACTTGGCCCAGTTCATATTTTTAAAAAAATTGCCGACAATATACTCAGTCAATTAATTAATCTTTATGTAAGGTATTGGTTGAAATGAAAAAGTTAGTGTCACGAGCGGGATTAGAACCCACGACCATAGGCTAAATACGCTGCTGCTCTACCACTTGAGCTATCCCCTTGGACACCAACTTCCCATTCCAACGATCTTTCGAATTTTCCCTCCTTTATGCCGTTTTTCAAATACCTTAAAAATGTGAAAATTCGAAAGGTAAGTTGAGATAGGAAGTTGGTATCCGAATGGATCGAAGTCACGATAGCTCAAGTGGTAGAGCAGCGGCGTATTTAGCCGACGGTCGTGGGTTCGAATCCCGCTCGTGCCACTAACTTTTTCAATTCAACCAATACCTTACGTAAAATTAATTAATTGAAAAAAGTTATTTGGTCAATCGGACCACGAAATGGATTATACTCAGAATTGAATATTGTTGTATGTCTAAAATAAACAAAAATAAAAACAATTACATAAATAAATTTTATAAACTGAGAATAAGTATATTACGTCAAAATATGAAATGGTAGTTTTTGCACATTTTGAACTTTATACTTCATATCTCATTTTCCTTGTTGAGGTAATGATCTAAATATATATTTTTAAATAAATTTAATTACCTATTACAAGTAGCGAATGTTCATACTTCTGTATGATTTATGTTTCTATGATCTAAACATTTTTGCAATTCAATTTGTCGTCCTTAAGTGGTTTATTTTATGGTCGCTGTAATTAAATTTAAATTTCAACCACAACATTCACGACATGCTATTGAAAGATTCTGAAAATGATCTTTTCGCAAGGGGCAACTAAATAAAGGGTGCAGTGTTTCAACTTGTCGAGATTATTTTACCATCGACTATAAAAGCCAGGCAAGTGCAAGTTGAAGTGAATTAATTACGGATAATTTACAGCAATAACTCGGAGTAATTAAATAGCTCAAGGTGAAAGTCATATTTGATTAAACATGGGCTGATTTTTTTTTTAACCTGTCCGCCTCGGCGAAATTTAATTTACAATTCCGTTAGGAAAACTTTCGACATGATTCAATTGGCTTATTACTTTCCAGTGGGCGCTATTGTTGAGCAAGTCTGTCCTAATTTCAAAATTGTAACACAAATTCGATTAGATAAAAGATAAACGTACATTATCTTACTTGCGTTTTACTTCGAGTTCCAAAGTTCATTTAAGAGAACGTTGAGAAAACATCGTTGATGATTCTAATAATTGTTTCGATGTAACGTTTTCCCAAATTCCGGAAGAGGTCTGGAGTTTGCGTCTAGTGAAGTAATCCCGTTGAATTTTTAATGATGTTGTTACCAGAGTTTAACCGAGGCTGTTTGAATAATTTTATAACGTTTCCTCGCAGGTTTGAGCTGGTTTCTTTTTATCTTACCACAAACTTACAACTTACTTGTTAGATAAGATTAAGTTGGGTGCAGGGTTGTTTATTTTATCACAAGGTTTTGTAATTTATACATTTTCTTGACTGTAATTTTTACGATTCTGTAATTAGTTTATTTTTTAACGTCAAACATTTTACCACTTCGTAAAAAATATTTTTCTATAAGGCACATGCGATATGCCCATTGTTCCTTTTAAGTAGGTTATCGGTTTGATAAAATATCGTTAGAAAATAATAAACATATTCTTTTTATTATAAAAAAGTTAAACTTATGAAGCTATAATAAAAAAAATCATTCACAATTCCTTCAAATATTACCTACACAAAAATATCGTAATATTTAAGAGTAAACTGTTTTCAAAAATATATTAATACAATATTAATTTAATCCATAGAATAACAGATACACTATCATTTTGAATAGCATTTATCTACAGAATAAAACTATAAAATCCTAATTTTGGGAGCATTATATAGCATATAATGCTTAATAGTAATTTAATGGCATCTAGTTGCATTATTGAAATGGATAAAATATTTTAATTTTTGTAAGATTTCCCAATGTCGTGTTATGGACGTGCAATTTGTCAAACTTAGGCAGACCAAAATGATAGGCAACGACCGAACTACTTTAATTTTTGGGAGTTTTCTCAGTGTGGTGTAGGAGCTTATGAAATTGTAATTTGCTAAAATTAAGCCGGCCAAAATGATCGGTAACTGCCAAATTACATTAATTTTTATTGTCATCAAATTTCACTCAGAAACTCTAAAAGTATTAATTTAAAAAAACGTACTAATTCAGAATGGCCCAAAATTTGTTGAGATTTTTTGTCATTTATTCGAATATCAGTTTAAAATGTAAAATGTTAATTGTCGTCGAGAATCCAAACCGATTACACGACATTTGAAAAATGGCAAAAGGAGGGAAAACTCATAAGGTGTGGTTGAGATGGGGAGTTGATGTCCGAGTGGATCGAGGTCACGATAGCTCAGGTGGTAGAGCAGCGGCGTATCTAGCCGAAGGTCGTGGGTTCGAATCCCTCTCGTGCCATTAACTTTTTTTCATCTCAACTAAAAACCTTAATTAATTGTCATGTATTAATTGGTCAAGCGGACCACGAAAGTAGTGAATTAATCAGTTTAAAAATTAAGTCATGTTCCTCCCCCATTAGTTAATTTTTTTACCAACCTACTTTCTTGTAATATAAAATTTATCTTTCTGATTAAGCTTCTGTAATAAACAAGAAGGATGGTTAGGATGAACAAAGCCTTTTTCGTTATTGTTCACCTCATTTTTAGGTATTTTTGAAGGATTTCTTGAGATAAACTATATTAATTGTCCAGTTTTTTTTCCGCGGTGACCGAATCTTTAGGGAGTCCGACTCGTATTTGTTAGTAATCCTGGGTTCGAATCCATCTGTATCTTATGGTTTTTAAATTGAAAATGGTATAAAAAATTTATTGTGAATTTTTGGATGGTTGGACGTTAAGTCGTCTTGTAAGACAACAGTTACTTAAATTACTTTAAATCTAATATTTGTAATATAGAGATGTCTTATTATTCAAAATGGCTTAACTCGGAAAAAAGTCATACTTGAGCCTGGAACAACGCGCACGCAATATACCCATCGACCTTTTAAAGTATTTTATCAGTATCATCAAAAGTTATTTAAATACGTGTGGACATTTATCACGAATGAATTAAAAAATGTTTAGGCTGTTGTGTTTTTTTCGTTGTGTTTTAATATTAATTTATTAAAAGTCAACATCGATTTTTCCGAGGCCCTTAAGTCATTATGATAATTGATAAAACATGATCTGATAGGGCCGTCCGTGGCCGCAACGGTTTAGGCGTTGACACGGCGCTCATTACTGTAAGATAAAGGTCCTGGGTTCGAATCCAGCGGCCCTGCATTCGAACCCGGCATACTTACAAATGGGCTTTTTTTTTCTGATTATATGATGATTTGTTTTTATGGACACTATATTTTATTTGTATTGTTTGATTTAGGATGTCGCCGACCGAGTTTTCAAATTACATCAAGCAACGGGCGATGCAGCAGCAGGCCGGAGGTCACAGCCACAGCGGTCAGGGCGGTTCCCCCGGGCGATCACTTTCGCCTTCTGTGAACCAGCAGGACTATTTGTATCCGTCTTACTACAGGCCGACGTCGCTTTTCGACAATTACCACAACGGCGACATGTACCAGAAGATGCCGTACCTCGAGCCGTCTCAGTACTATCCGGTGCCACCCAACACGCCACCGGCACCGCAGCAAAACCAGTCCCAGGAGAACAAAACGCAGCAGCTTTTGGACTCTCTCTCCAACTTTCCTACTTACTCACCGAACCAATATCCACAATTGCTCGTCGCCAACTAAACACGCTCGCCCTTCAAAAAATCAGAACCCCACCTAGATTTTCTCCACTGAAACACCCCCCACACACACGTTTAACGAAGTATGCTTTGGTTTTTAATCGTTTCAAAAGAGTACCGATGACCGGAAAGGATGGCCGACGAGGGTAGTTCTGACCACCGACAGAACGGCCTGGGAAAACTATAAACATTTTTATGGCACAGTAAAAGTTTTTTAAAATCTATTTCTACTACCGTCTAATTCGATCTACTCTCTAATTTCAATATTTCCACATTATAATATTCATGTCGTAACGCTTGTAAATTTTTTCTATTGCCCTCGTAATTATCATCTTTCCAATTGTGATTCAATTCAACAAATATAAATCTCATTGTGATTTTAATACCTAAGTTTTTTTTGTAAAAGAAGTTAACATATTGTTATTATTTATCTTTGTATAAAATGTTTAAAAAGTTAAAATACTTTCTTTAAAGAAAGAAAATCTGATAATGTCAGTTGTACAAATTTATTCTTTATAAAGCTGTTTTTAAGTGAGTTACTGTGCTCGATCTAAAACTAAACTATTTCAGTACATATATGTATTTGGGAAACGTTTTGGATTTTTTCGGAGGAGGATGACAACCTAGAGTTTTAAAATAAAACTAAATAATTTATTTTTTCACCGTGCAAAATAGTTCAATTATTTTAGTGAGATTATAGTATTACTTAAAAAAAAGAAGAAGAAGAAAGATACTATGTTGCGATGTAAATAGCGTATTTTTTCACAAAACGGCAAAAATGAAAATATGTTTTTTGTATAGATTCATTGTTTCATTGTGATTGAGCGGGCCGGCGGTTGTGTGTAAATAGAAAGAGATGAATGCCTCCTGGCGAATTGTCCACCTCTTATAACCACCATCCTAGCAAATTGTTCGGTACCTGAAATTTAACATTTTTATATACCCAGTCGGTTAATATTGTATTTTAAGCTGTTTTTCTAAAAAAAAAGAAAAAACTGTCGCGTCCCTACAATGTCCCAAATCGAAATTACATATAATTTACATTATCTGAAAGACGAAAACCTTGAAAAGTTCTTCCCCGAGTTTAAATAGAACAGTATTTCCCTATATCATTGTACAAAACCAGTTTGAATAGTTTTTTTGTTCATATCTCTTTCTCTTGTTCATTTGACTATAAAACGTAAAGTATTAAAGTACATAAAACATTTTTTTTAAATATTTATTTTATTTTTATTTTTCATCTTTTTGTATTATTTTATAAACGCTATTTGGCTTTTCAGCCTTCTTTATAGTTAATTTTGTTTGAATATTTTATATTACTTTTTGTATAAAAAAAATATATATAATGATTAAAAAAAAGAAACAAAAAATTGTTATAACATTTTTGTAGACAAACTCGTTTCAATATTTTTATACTGTCGGTTACAATACTTTTACAATTTAGAAGCTAGTTTGTATTACAAAACATATTATGTGAGTACATATGCGAAGATCAAAAGTAAATTTCTAGTGATAGCCTCTATTAAAAAAAAAAAAAAAAACGGGAATCGTAATCCCTCTCTTTTGATTTTACGTGTCTACAAAATTTGCTGCATCTTCGTAGTATTTATACATACAATAAAAAAATTGATTTGATGATTTTTCTAATCAGTGGTAATTTTGTATCTCAATAGACGGCGTTTAAAACACGCATAGTTTTTAGGGTTATTCAATAATATTTTGTATTTTGGATGTGAGCGTCGAGTAAGACTACGTTAGTAGAGAAACGGCAGGGTCTAACCTGCTTTATCCTCTCTTGCATGTTCTTTATATCAATGTGATTGTTAACAACTAGTTATATTAACTTTTACCCATATGCCAATATGTGTGTATAAAAATCGACCGTTTTTATACATATATATTTATATATGAGAATATACATATATATTTTTTATTAAAAGAGTTTTTGCACTATGTTAATCATGCATGGGATATTCGTAACGATATGAATATTAATTTCATTAATGAAGATGAATATTTGTACTTTAGTATTTTTGTACTGTGACAACATTTTATAAACTAGATTAAGATAATTTAGTGTAAACTACATTGTTTTGTGGTTGTGTTCCTTTTATCACTCATTTTGTTATTTCTAAAAAGAGTATAATCTATATACATATATATATTTTATATTAGGAGTTTTAGGAGGCTTTTCTATTTTTGAATATCACTAGACAAATTTTTGATGTCCTTTTTGATGTGAAAATTTTTCTAGTTAGCAAGAATTTGGTGTAAATGATAAACGGAATGTATTCATTTCAGAACGTTCATTGTAAGTGTAATTTAATTTTCCACTCCAAATAGTTGATAAATTTAATTTATAATTGTCTTGCGTATTATTTACATGTTATTATTTTGGGTTTAAAACTTTAAAATTGACTTGCACACTCTGTCCAAATAAAATTCAAAAATGTTTCGTTTCTGAGTTAAGTGACACTAGTCAGGTCGTTTCAAATAATAATTAATTTAATGTGATAAGTCTAGATCAATAAAAAAGGTGCCCTATTTGTTAGTTTTTAATGCTTGCATGTTATGTTCATGATTTAAGACAAACTGCACCCCCCCTTTTCACATTCCTACACCAAATTTTTACAATAACAAAAAAAAATTGGTTCTAATAATTTTTAGTCTTTTGGAAAACAAAATCACTTTCTAGTTTGGCCTTTTGTGTCGATTATTTTTGATCAATGCAATGGACGTTCAAAGTTATGTTTTTTGTTTTAAGTCAGACCAATGCGGTGTTAAAGTTACCTAGGGGATTGTTATTACATCCAATGTAGAGAATTTTTATAGACGAAAAATCACTTATCACTTTAACGGTGTATAATGTATGTATAGCTAGTTTTGTTTTATATGGATTAAATAAAATATTTTTTATTTTTAATACAATAGTTTTTACATAGTCTATTGTTATTATTTTTGTATAATGTATTTTTTATCTATTTTATCTTTGATTTTTCTTTTTTGAAATAAATTTATATGTTTGGAATTTTTTGTTTTTGTTTTGTTTTTATTTATATATATATAATATATGAAATTTTTTGCCTTGAAAACTTTATAGACGTCATGGCAAGCGATTGTTCAATCAAAAAGTTTTTAAGAAACTTAAAGAAAAATCCTGGTAATGTTTCAAACAAGTATTGTTAGTTATTCTTTACTGTGGAAAATTACTATTAGAAACGCTCTATTTAATCGAAGATAACAAGCGATTTTCCGTATTATAGCAATTGCCACACGTCATTAAAGTATTTGAAAAATCTTTCAGAATTATGCATAATAATGTTTAAATGGATATGTATAACAAAAGCACTGTTATATTTTCTAACTAGCCATTGTAGTCTTAGTTTGTAGGATCTGTTTTGGATTGAGACCGGATAGTGAAAACTAAGTATCTTGGGGCAGCTGGAAAAGATGCTTTTGACCGTTTAGGTCGCAATCCAAAACGTTATAATTAGTCTTTTTTGAGGCGTTCTGTCCACTAAGAGCGTGTGCATCTCGAAGAACCTGTCCTATTGAAAGGATACGGCGACAAAAGAGAAAAAAAATGGATTTCCTTCCTCGTGATGTACCGCAGGCCTAAAAGGACAGGACGCCCGCAAAATCTCAACGTATCGCTAGTAATTGTATAGTCAGTCACCCGTACCAAGGCCTTCGCCCCGACTTGTACGATTCGAAATATTCAATACATTCAGAAAATTCCTATTACCAATTCGGAAATATATTTTCTTACGACAGAACTGTAAAACGGCGAAATTGGAGGGAGCCCGAGCTTAAACGTAAAAAAATTGCATTTTTTGCACTCCAAGCTTACTGAGACTTACTTTTTCGACAACTATCGCGCTTTTATCCCTTGTCCCTAAACTGTTCCCCTCTGTCAGTGTAGAATTTTCCATAGGGAAATATTTTTTCATACTTCGATCAATCACATGAGGAAGAGGAACAAGAGCAGTCGGATAGGTTTTTATCGTTAATTTTTAGTATATTTTATTTTGAAATATTATACAAATAGTAATCAACAAAAGCAGTTACCCTTATACATTTTTAATTGAGCCAGATTTAGTCATGGAACATGTATACTAATTGTATTGCCTTGATTGTAACTGAAGGCGATATTAAATCCAAATTTAGTATATAACTCTCCGTTGTAGCTATGTTTATTATCATAGTATGTATAATTATGTGAATTGTCCAAAAGTGGGCAAATCGTAGAAGGAAATATATTCCCTTTTCATAGGTGTACATTTCTTAATAAGCTATGTTAGTCAAGTTGGTTTTAATCACAAATCATAATTGTGTATAAATGTGAATAAATTCTATATATGTATATATTATATAATTTTTCATATTGTACTAAATTTTGACATTTTTAAGTTTATATTAAAATGTGTTTTCAGCATTATTAGTGTAAAAATGGCTAATTATTCTCCTCCATTCCCTATCTGCTCAGAATTAATGGTGGGAATTAAAACACTTGATAAAATAGAACCACAGTGGATAATTAGACAAATTTAATTTTGTATGGACGGCAAATGTCTACAACCAAATAATGTAGTTGAGAGTCCTCGCCATATGCAATAACATTTGCAACGTATCGAAATAGACCTAAAGACGTTCTTCATAAATGAATACATTTAAATGATAATCATTTGGGGATAATATTTAACAGAATCGATCGTTTCTTTCTCCAAAGCAGCACAAAATCAGTATAAAATAGCCTAATTGAAGGGTACAATTACTTGGCTCCATATAAAGAGCGCATAGCAACGCCAAATTGGCTTGAGCATGGCTTTTTTCCGTCATAAACATCCACAATCAGATATTCAACATGTTTTATGAAATCAGTGTAGGCGTAAACTTGATCTTCTATGATCTCACCATTATACAGGTTTATGGTTGACTGGAGGCATCTGGGACTCCCGTTCATATCCTTGGAGGAAACAGTTTTTTATTGTATACAATAGCGATAGTTTTGAGAGTAAATGTATTTATTAGCGTGAATGTGAGTGGGTCTATAACGGAATATTGAATACCCCATCGACCCCCAAATAATTTGCTATATAATAGACATAAAGGGTGAAATATCAAATACTCTACCAAATTTGGTTAAAGGTATGTAAACGAGTTTAAAAGTGACAGAACCCGGAGGCAAGACGGATAAGACCAAGGTCTGACTCTAGACTGTGAAAACCCGGTTGGGTGATTTTCGAGGGCACGATAATTTACTGTAAAGTATAAAAGATGGACCACTGGACTGCGAGAATAGGCTCAATCGGCCCATTTCAGTGTACAATTATTCCATTTTTGTTGGGTTTTAATAACTATAGCAGTTCCATGTTGTAATTTGCAGTGTGAATAGTAGTAATGGTATGACGTTTTAATAATAAAATAAACGTGTGTGGTGATTAGTGTCCGTTAATCGATAATTATTCAGAAATCGTGATGTGCGGTCTAGTGTGATGTAGGTTTCAGAAAAACATTTTCTTTATCGTGCCAACGTTTCGATCTTTATTGAGATCATCTAAAGATCGAAACGTTGGCACGATAAAGAAAATGTTTTTCTGAAACCTACATCACACCAGACCGCATCTCACGATTTCTGAATAAATAAAATAAACAATACCTATCAAGTCCAATCCATTGATAGAATATCTTTCATTGTATTTATTGTACTTTGACTTTAAAAATTTAAAGCTTTTAGTATATTTGTTGTAATTTTGCGTTTACCAAAACATATAAAAACTGCGTTGGATGAGTTAGTACACTCAACGCAATGAACAACAATTTTTGCCCCGCCACCAACGTTATATATGGACCTACGTTGATACAAGAAAACCTTTAAATTAATTAATTTAACTTTTTTATTTCACAACTGTGTGTGAAGCAGTGAATGTGGAACATCATAGAATGAAATAGCACATTTAATTTTTTTAAATTAATCACTGATAAACAGCTAGATTCAGATCTAGAAATGGAATTTTTACTCGCCGGATTTTACAATTGGAGTAAAATATTTTAATTAACGGTGTTAAAACTAATAATCGATAAAACACGACCTTGTTACTAATCAATCATTATCAGGACAGGGTCAATAAATCCATTGATTTAATGTCCTTTCTTATCAAAAGCAACCTGTCTTTCTGACATTATAAAATCATCAAAGAATTTCATCTCAGCTGGCAACTATGATCTTCGCGTATTTTCGTTGAAATTCTATATTTATAAAGCAGATACGTGTTTAGAATATCGTGGGTGTATCAGCAGGCAAGCCCACACCCTACGGGCGACAATTTTTATCAACAAACAAATATTGAACAAATTTATTAAGTAATTAATTAACTTTCATTTAAATAAACGTATTTAAGGATTGGGATTTGTAAAAAATATTCGGTAAAATTGTCATTGTATTTTTAGGAAACGGCGATGTTTTGTTCTGTATCTTATCGAAGCTGGCGCCACATAAAGGACAATTCTCTGACCTCCGCTATACAGATATACACTAATGACACCTCTATCTTCACAGAAATAATCCTCTTCACTTTCCCTCACATTACTTAAACCGGGAACACACCCGATGCAACGCTATGCGACGCTACCCGATGCTACCTGACGCAAATTCACAGTCCAATTTTCCATAAGATTGTATTACCTCCATGCACATCTGCTATGCCGATGCTACGCAACGCTACCATACTCTACGCTCTGCGATCCCCACTGTCCAGACTTTCGTCAGTAGCGTCGAGTACAGTCGAAGACAAAAGAACAGGACACTCATATTTTTTCAAACTATATGTACTATTGTCGTTATATTAATTACAGCATTTTTTTTAATATAAACCAAATTAACCGGGATCAAAAATTCATTCATTTTTTTTTAAATTAAGTTTAATGGTTTGGTAGAAAATTATTCAGAAATCGTGAGATGCGATCTGGTGTGATGTAGGTTTCAGTGAAACATTTTCTTTATCGTGCCAACGTTTCGATCTTTATTGAGATCATCTTCAGGGATCATCTTCTCAATAAAGATCGAAACGTTGGCACGATAAAGANGCTCATAAAATTACACCATTTTCGTCAAGAAGCGACAGAACAGGACGCTCACATTTTTTATAGTTTATTTCATGTAATTTTGTCGTTATATTAATTAGAACATTCTTATTTTAATATAAACCAAATTAAACGAGATCAAAAATTCATAAGTTTTTATAAAAATTATTTAATTATCATGGTTAGGAAGAAAATTGATCAACACACCGGAATAA